TGCTTTCACATAAATACATGAATGCCATCGCAGCATTTAAGACGGAGCAGTAATGTGATCTGACATACTTTGTTTTTATAGTTATGTTTTTGGCCACCATTTTGTGAGTGGATTACAGGGTGCGGGGGTAGAAGCAGGGAAGGTTGCTCCAGGATTGAGACAGCAGATGGTGCAGGTCATGGAGGAGGAAGTGGGAAATGCTTGGATTCTGGATGGGATTTGAAAGTAGAGTCAGGATTTTCCAATATAGTTGATGTGGAGTATGAAAGAGAAGTGACAGGTCATTACTTTTGTACAGAAGATCTGTTAGGATGGGTGCAGGCTGCAGGTGGAACTGAATGTAGGGGAATGGAATTATTAACCTGAAGAAGTGAAGGCCCGGTTAGGTAGTAGGGGGCAAACAGGGAGAATGCATTGTGTGTGAGTGTGGGGAAGAACTACCTTTCCAAGAGACAGGGAATCTTAGGTGATTGGCGCCCCCTAGTGCCAATCGCATTATTAGTCTTGAGGGGATCGGCTCCGTATCTCAAAAGTACACTCTTGAAAATACTTCTTTAGGCTTTAGTTTTCTTTTGAATCAAGCGAGGATAAATCACGTAACTATTCTTTTATGCTCCTGGTGCATCGGAAATGTTATCAGATTCATTACTGGAGGCTAGAACTGTAAACACGTTTAGCAAATGGTTACTTGGACTACTTTGAGGAATTCAGTGTGTCCGGGCTGCCTGGTGGAGATTAGAGGCTTGGAAATGCAACATGCTGAGAATTAGGAGTCAGCTGAGCAGGATGGGCACTTGTGAGCATGAGGAGTGGGGGGATGGGTGAGTGAAGTGGAGGTGGGAGAAAAGGAGGTTGTTAGAAGAAACGTCAGTGGTTTGTCACACAAGGAACCGTACGTACTTATCCCTGTCCTAGTCAAACAAGGGGATGTCACTAGGGATCAGTAGACTAATTTCACACCAGTCCATTCTCCCACTATGTTCCATTGCCAGAGTCAGAATTCTGGGGTGGGTCTGTATCTACACCAAGTCTGTGAGTGATTTTACTCTAATTATCCCTGGATTTGTCTCGTTTTCTCCACTTCTGTTGTTGCTACCTTAGTTCAGAACCCCGTCTTTGCTTGTTTGGATTATTTCGAGCCTTTTAACTGATCTCCCTGCCTTTTTTGTTTGTTTGTTTTTTGTTTTTTTAAATCACTGAACCCCTCTGATTGTATACCCTGTCATTTTCCACTGAAAATTATTCACAAGGTCTCCCATCTCCTTCAGGATGCAATCCTAATTCCTTGGTGTGACTCATGTGACAGGTCACAAGCTGGCCTGCCATGCACCTCTCTTGCTCACTTCCGCTTTCGATCCATACTGCGGTCGCGTTCAGCATGCAGCCGGTCACACCACTGTGCACCTTTGCAAAGCTGCCCATCTGCCTCTTTGGCTCACCACTTCCACACCTCTACTCCTCTCTCAAAGACTTTTTTCTTCAGGTCTGTTCCAGCGTCACTTTCCGTAAGCTTATTCTGACCTCTTACTCCTCTCTGTTGGGTGACCTTCAGTGTTCTCATCACACTTGATGTAGACCTCTCTTAGCATATCTCTCCCTGTATTGTAATCATAGGGTTACTTGTTTATTTCTTGATATCTTAGAGTTTCCCCTGGCCCAGGACCCACATAGCCCTGGGGTGCAGGAACAACTTGGTAAATGACTGTTGGATGAGTGAGGCATGTAGAAGACCCACGCTCCATAGGGGAGAGGCCATCGGAGCACTAAGGGGATTAGGAGGGAGAGATCATGAATGAAGTCTTCTGTTTCTGGGAGGAACTCTGGCTTTATCACGATATTCGTTCTTTAAAGTGGCTTTATTGTAGCATAATACAGAGTAACGTAGAAAAGTGCTTATATCACAGGTGTAAAGTTTGAAGAATTTTTATAGGCTGCAGACCCATGTAACCAACCCCCAGCTTCTTTAAATGGAACATGACCAGTATACCAGAAAGCCCTCCTCATGCTTCTTCTAGTCACTTTTCCTTTCCCACCACTGAACTTAACCATTATCCTACTTCTGATCTTATACATTAGTTTTGTCTGATTTTGAACTTCATATAGAAGGAATAATTCAGTAAGTACTCTTTTGTGGTTCTTTTGCTTGACATTTTGTCTATCTGTGAGAGTCATCCATTGTTGCCAGGGGTTGTAGATGATTCATTCTCCTTGCTCTGTGGCATTCCAACATGTGGCGATACCAGTTTGTCTGTTCTGCTGTTGGGTAATATTGAGGAGGCTCCAGTTTTTTGGCCATCAGGAACAGTGCTACTGTTTTTGTTGTTTGATGAACGTAAGTGTGCATTGCTGTTGGATATAGACCCAGGAGGGGAATTGCTGACATAGCATATCCCTATGTTCAACATTAATAGAAACTGCTAATAATTTTTCAAAAGCGGTTGGGGGACGCCTGAGTGGCTCAGTTGGTTAAGCACCCGACACTTGATCTCTGTTCAGGTCATGATCTCACGGTTTGTGAGGTCAAGCCCTATGTCAGGCTCTGTACTGACAGCATGGAGCCTGCTTGGGATTCTGTCTCTCCCTCTCTCTGCCCCTTCCCTGCTTGCAATATCTTTCTCTTTCTCTCTCTCAAAATAAATAAATCAACTTAAAAAAAAAAAAGTGGTTGGATCAGTTTACATTCCCCTCCTCATATGTGAGAGTTCTGGGTGTTTCACATTCTTTCCAACACTTGGTATTTCCTTTTTTTAAATTTAGCCATTCTTTCATGTTTACAGTGGTTCTCATTGTGGTTTTTACCATAGTTCTTATAAAAGTAGTTTTATAGCTTAAGTTTAAGCATTCTTCATTATCTTAGAAATGTTTATCTAGTGGTTAGAGCAGTTTTGAAACACTTGAAGAGAGGGATAACGCGACTAAAAACAGGAAAGTATTCATTCGGTTATTAATCTGTCTTGTCACATTGACTTTGCTTGAAATTCTAGGTGTATTTTGCTTTGAAAAAGAATAGACATAAATAAGAAAGGCATAAACTTAGAGACCTTCACTTAATGAAAAAGCCAATACTATACGCACCATTTCTTTTTTTTTTTTCAACGTTTATTTATTTTTGGGACAGA